TTGAACCGCGGTCCCTCTGCTTTGCTAAACTTGTTCTAAGTAGGTGCTTTAGACCACTGAGCCATCTCACCAGCCCCCTATTTTTATTTTTTTTGCACTGTAGGATCAAACCTAAGACCTTGTGTATGCTAGGCAAATGATCTACCACTGGGCTACACTCTCAGCCCTTTTTTAAAGTACATTTTCATACTTTAGAGTGAAATTAGGAGAGCACTGTTAGGGGCTGTTAGTCATATGTCTTTTTCGTTTTTAATTATTGAAATGCTGTGTCTCTTTCTCATTCAAGCTCACAGATTTGTAGTCTACTACACCTTTAAAATGTATTTACAAATTGGTTTGTCTCCTGAAGTTCCATGTGCTTGCGCCGGGTCTTTATACATATGTCTAAATACTCCATAAGTAATGCAGTTTATCTCTTGGCAGATGTCTTTCAGGGCTAAACTCATGTTTTTGCTGTGATCTTTTTGACACTCCAGACAAGAGAGATGATATATCTTGATTAATATATGAATCACCCGGAGTTGTCACCTACCAGTGAGGGAAGGATCACAGTATTTACTTATATGACAAATGCAGTTCTGTCTAAGTGTAACCACTAACTCTAAATACATTCCTTCCCGTGAAAACACAAAGGAAGCCTGTGTCTTTGTTCCCCTTGCTTTGGCAGTCAGTGCTTGGGACATTCTGGTGAGCTCAGATCTTGCTTCTGTGTCTTACCTTTATGTTGGCAGTATAAGCATTAGATAACAAGATATAGAAAGAAATGTGGAGGAATTATTACCAAGTGGATAAAGTTCCAGACTCTTCAGTCAGACAGCCTGGATTTAAATTTCTGGTGCGCTTCCTGCCATTGTGTAACCTTGTGTGAATTGCTGAGCATTCCAGTTGCCACTTTAAAATCTGTCTCACTCCTTTTCATTATTATTATTATTATTATTATTTTTTTTTTTAGCAGATTGGAGATTGAATGTGGTGCTTTGCACCTGCTGGGCAGGCACTCTGCCACTGAGCTACATCCTTTTTATTTTAATTCATTCTTTGTAAGTTTTTTAAATTATTTATTTATTTATTTATTTATTTATTTATTTATTTATTTTGAGACAGTCAGACTCTGTAGTTCAGGCTGGCCTTGGACTCACTGTGTAGTCCAAGTTGGTCTCAAACTCCCAGCGCTCCTTCTGCCTTAGCCTCCCAAGTGCTGGGATTACAGATGTGTGGCACTACACCCAACTTTCACTTCATTTTTGAATTGTGTTTAATTAAGCGAATTTTACAAATGCTTTGTGGAGAAAGACAAGTTATAAATAAAGGAGGTGGAAACTAACTTTTATATGTTTTGTGTTTGGTTACTTTTGTGAGATTTTTTTAAAAATGTTTTTTTTTTTTTTTAAATTTTGTTTTTTGCAGTGATAGGGTTTGTGTCCTAGGCCTTGCATTTGGCTATACCCCTCACCCTTTTCATACTTTTTTTTTTTTTTTTCTGGAAGGATGTCTTGCTAATTGTTCATGCTAGACTTGAGTTTGATCTTTTTGCCTCAGCCTCTGGAGTAGTTGGCATTACAGGCATGTGCCGCCATGCCAGGCTTTTTAAATAGTTTGTAATAGAAAAAGAGTAATCACCATCAGAAACAAACATGATTTTGTATTTGGGTGTATTTTCATCTAGTCACTTTTTTCTTTGCAAATATAACTAAAAATTCATCCCTGCAAATAAGTGTTTTACCAAGTTAGATATTGCATTTAATTGTATAGATGTCCTTTTTGCTTCTAATTATATTGTGAATATTTTGCATGTCTTCAAAACCAACTAGTAAAAGATAACTTAGCATTGCTTGTGTCTCCTTTTATTTAGTGATTTGTAATTATTTCATTTTATAAATGTTGCTGCATTGGTTTTGGTCTTTATATTATTTTCTTACCATAGAGCATAATAGGTAGTTATGCAAAAGGAAAGACAGTTTTTGTTCTTTTTCTTTGATGGTACCAGGGATTGAACTCAAGACCTTGCGCTTGCCAGGCAAGCACTTATTCCACTGAGCTATCACTCTGAGCCCCTGTTTTTTT